AGAAATTTTATTTAATTAAAATTACATATTTGGTCCTACACTTTTTTTAATATGTAGTTTTTAATAAATAGATAACTGCTGAGCAGTTACATTTTCCCATGAGCAGTTGTCTTTGATGGAAAGACAACTGCTTATATAATGGGAAAGGTTGCAGTTCCCATTAACGCAATTTTCACCCTAAAAACCATCGCATTGAAAATTTTAGTTAATTGGAAGACTTTGTAAAAAAAAAAAATATACAAAAAATAAAATAAATAAAATTAGGAGGAGATAGAAGCGTGAGGGTTAAAAGGCCAGAATTAACACAAAAGAAGTTCTACAACAATTGCTATGATTGGAGGTTAGTATTACATTCATTTACTTCCGCTGCATTTAATAAATGTGTATAAACATGTATATGGATAGTTAATGATGACTTTATACATGTTATTAATATGAATGTGATTTTACATGATTGATCTAACAGTTGTAACTTAAATAATAAATATTCACTTCTTAAGTTACAACTCTTAGGTATTTTATAAACATATTAAAAAAAAATATGGAGAATAATATCCGTCTTATAAAAGAGTAACAAAAATATGTTTATGTAGTTTTTAGGATTTTGAGAATGAAGAATGGAATATAATGGAATGGGATTATATATTTACTTATTATCAGGAATGTTCAGGGAATGATATGAAATATATGTTATATGGACAAAAATATCTTCAAATTTAAAATATTATCTTTAAGTCAAAAATTAGAGTTATGTTTTTAAATAAAAAATAATTCTATAAATAATAATAAACATATTTACTATTATATTTTTTTAAGATCTTTATCTTTTTCCATTAGCAATAAATACTCTAATTCAAAAAAATCAATACATATATAATAAATAAATACACAATTTTAGAAGTACAACATTTAATCTTTGCATATCAAAACAAGCAAGGTAATATCATCATATGATAGGATAAGTTCAGGCTTTGTGGTGAATTTGGGGTTATTGTAGCTTCTTCCATAATCATTTATTGCATAATCTATAATCCAAAAAATATTTGATAAATTAATTTAAAAGTTAATAGCAGTGTTCTAAAAACCGGACCAGACCAATCAGTCCAACTGGTCCAACCGATGATTGCACCCTCTCCAGTCCGGCTTATCATTTTTAACTATTCACCAAATCCTTAATCTGATCGCTGGCAAACGAGAGGCTACCAAGTGTCGGGGTTAGAGGGTTTTTGTAAAGTGGAGGTCGGTAGTTTAAGAGGTGGTGTCAAATTGAGTTTTGGACGCCGAAATCAGCTGGAATTTGGCCAGAAAAATCAACCCAATACGCAAGTCACAGTCAAAGAACGGGGGGCTACCAAGTGTCGAGGTTAGATGGGTCTTGTAGAGTGGAGGCCAATGGTTCAGGCGGTGGTGTCAGATTGAATTTTGGACGCAGGAATCAATCAGAATTTGGCCAAAAAATCAACACAATCATGGCAATGTTCGCAAGTCACGACTGGCAAACAGAGAGCTACCAAGTTCGGATATAGAGTGTTTTTGTAGAGTAGAGGAAGATGGTTCAGGTGGTGGTGTCGGGGAATTTTAGACGCAGGAATCAGTTAGAATTTGACCAAAAAAATCAACACAATCAGGGCATTGTTCGCAAGTCACGACCGGCAAATAGAGGGCTACCAAGTTCAAATTTAGAAGGGTTTTGTAAAGTGGAGGATGATGGTTTAGGTGGTGGTGTCGGATTGAATTTTGGCCACCAGATCAACCGGAATTGGCTGGAAAAATCAATTTAGGTTCAGATTGTAGGGGTGTATTTGATATATTTTAAACCTACAAGGACTGCTTTATTTTTCAAGGGTGTGTTTGCAAGATTTCAAACTTTCTGGATCTACAACAGGCCATCATTTTAACCGGTCAGATCGATAAAACTAAGACCTGATCACTTGGCCGGGTGACATCCCGGGTCGAGTTTCAAAACATTAGTTAATATACAACAAGCTAATTATGAAATAATCTACTTTATAGACGGATTCCAAAAGGTGAACTTGTCAACTATCAGTTGCTGGTGATGGTCGATTGTTACTGACGGAAAATTCTCTTGCAACGAGTGAGCCAACATGGTTGCACTCATCGGCAGGCGATTTATGCAACTGTGCCAGTAGTGTTGCAACTAGCGTTTTGGCCACAATGGTCCACAAATTTCGACCGATACTTTATTGGCCCTTTACGATCAATGTCTAGTTTTGAGAACATTGCAGACATGGTTGCACTCGTCAATAGGAAATTTGTGTAATCTGCCGGTGATGTGCACTCCCTCGCCGGCGGAAATTTTTTGGTAGTGACAACTACCGGCCAATTTTCAATTATTGAAAATTTTAAACCTTTTAATGAAAATAATTAAATTTTAATATAATCAAGAAAGAAAAAAATATGTAAAAAGTACTTATTTTGATCTTTTTGCATGAGTTATATCTCATTTCTCAAAATTAGGGTAAGCGATTCCAAGTACCCTGTAATTTTGAAGAGCCAAAACCGACTGGTTCCTAAGATTTGGAATTGAAACTGGAACCAATCGGTTCCGGTTCTTAGATTCCTGGAACTGGAACCTAAAATGCAGGTTCTGGTCCTTACCACAGGCACCCTATAATATCAATTACCCCCTATTCATTTAAAAAAATGACAAATACACTCTAGAAATTTACAAAGACACCCTGATAATTAATAATATTTATAAATATTATAGTTACTAGAGTGAAAATGAAGTTTTTGAATTTGCCCATAAGTTAAATTTACATTAATTGTGACAAAATAATCAAATTAAATATTAATATGATTTATGAATCTTTAATTAAATAATTAGTAAAAAAAAAATTTACGTCATTAATTTAAGTTTGATTACAAAACACTACATTTCTTAATATACCATGACTTCATGAGTTGTCATACTATAATGTTATAATTAATTAAATATTTATCATTTAATTAAGTAATATATTAATATCGTCAATTTTCATATATAATTACTAATTATTATAGATATACTTAGAACTTGATAATAAAGTAAATATTATTCTATCAAATATACTATTTATTCAAAAATAATTCTTTTAATAACATTAAAACACTTTTAATTGGATCCTAATTCTAATTATATAATTAATTAATCAAATAATCATGAATCTCATCCATTTTTATTCTCTTATAAGTCTTATACTTTAAATATATATATATAGACAATGTACTGACTTGCCACATCACCGACGTGTATCTTCATTCTATTTTGGATTTTTGATATGCAAAATTACAATAGACCTCCCATTCTTTTAATACTCTTTCCAGTCCTGGTTCCAAGACAGGTTCCATCCCGAATACCTAACCTGGTTCCCGTCTAGATTCCGGTTCAGTTATGGTTTCTGCACATGCAAGAACTAGAACCAAAACCAAAACCAAAATTGGACCCGCACAATGTTGATTCCAAAAAATTGAAACTGAAACTGACCCTATAAAGGCCATTTCGATTCCTATTCTACCCTTACCCATGCTCACCCTACTCAAAATCATAAATAATTTGAAAGTTTAACAAAACAATCACCTCATGATTTTTTTTTAAAAAAAATGTTTTATTTCAAAAATTGACCTATAAGTAATTATGGGACAAATTATAACAATCTCAAACTAAGCCCTAATAACCACCACCAATATTTTATGCTATGCCAAAATTGGGCTTCAAGTCACATAACAATTTAGGGGTGTTTGTCTGAGCTTATGAAAGTTAGCAAGTGCTTAAGCTAATTTTAGCTTATAAGCATTTGAAATTTTAACTTAGACTTGTTTGGTTAAAATACTTATAAGTGACTGATAAGTAATTGACGTATTTGATAAAATGTGGCTTATAAGTACATTTTATTATAAAATGACTAAAAAGGTACTACATTAATAAGGGTATACTATAGAATTTTAAAATTAAACAAGGATAATGTGGTAATATACTTTGTCAAACTAGTTTATAAGCAGAATGCTTATAAGAAAAAAAAAAAAAAAAAGTACCTCCCTCTAACTTTTTTTTTTTTGCTTATAAGCTCAACTTATAAACTCAAAAAAGTTAAAAACAACAGGTCAGCTTAATTTAGAGCTTAAAGCTAGTTTGATCAGCTTATAAGCTTAGACAAACACCCTCTAATAGTTATGGTTTCTTACCTATATAAATCATCTATTTTTTATTTTTTTATTTTTTTTTTTTTTTGGTTTTCCTAGAGCAAAAATTATAAAAGGAATTATATTACATTAGTCGAGAAAACAATTTAAAAATCTATTTCATAACTTTAAACAGATAAAATATTTGTAACCTATTAATCTCTTATCATATATTGAGGCCCATAAAATTCACACGATAAGTTTATCATATAACTATTTTAAAGTTCTTTAAATAATTCTTGTTCATAATATAAATTAACTCATCTTTATATAAATATAAATATAAATATTATTTTAATTATTAATTTAGTATACAATAAAGATGTGTTTGTTTGTCTTGTTAATTAATCCTTGATAGGAAAAGTCTACGCACAGAAATATGCTACCTTGTTAACACATCAACCCATCAACTGAATCAAGCTGATAAAACTCTCATTGTTTTGCAATAAGACTTTTTTTTAATCTTATTTAAATTAATGTGTAGAACTAGAATAATATTATTTGTGAAAACCATTTCAAATCCTTGTATTTCCAACTCTCAAGACAACTTTCCTAATTTTTTTTCTCAAAAATGACTTCTGAAACCCTCAATTGAGTGGAAGAGTTCTGGTGATTATTTGATTTTGGCAACATCGTAAATGTCTGCATAACACCATTTAACTAATTCTCAGAGTTTTTCAAAGGTCGAAATTGGTGCTTTCTTTGCCATAAACCAAAACAAAATTTTCCATTATTTTATAGACGTTTCTCTCAACTCAGGATGCAAATTTGGGAGCCAGTAAAGCAAATCAACATGTTTTAAGTTTTCACTACTTCAAGTACAACAACTAAAGATTAATAATTCAAAAATTTAGCCAAAGACAACAATTCATTAGACAGAACTAAACTAGGAAAATTGGTCTACAGAAACTTCGTTGGAAGAAAATTACAAAAACTAATCAACAAACATTATAAGAATCCATAAAATAAGCATAAAGTAGGAAAATTAAAAACCAAATGTTTGATCTACTCTTCATCTTTCTTTTTCTTCTTTTTCTTCTTCTCACTTTTATCAGTTTCACCGTTATCGACAGCCTTAGCCTCCTCAGCTTCTTTGTCTTTCTTCTTCTTTTTCTTCTTCTCGGACTTATCTGTTTCAGGTGAACCAGGTTCATCCTTATCTTTGTGCTTCTTTTCCTTCACCTTCTCAGTCTTCTCCCCTTTTTCTGTTTCTACATCACCATTCTCTTTGTCCTTCTTTTTCTTTTTCTTCTTCTCTTTCTTCTCATCTTCAACCTTCTCTGCCCCATCTTCCTTCTCAATCTCCGCATGTTCAAGTTTAGCCTTCTTAGCAGGCAAAAGAGGGGTATCACCGCTCTCATCAAGTTTGCGTTTGCGCCCTTCTCCATCTTCCTCATCCTTTTTTTTCTTCTTCTTTTTCTTTTCCTTCTCCCCATCAGCAGTCTCTTTATTTGCCACAGCTGGTTCTGCTGCAGCTGCAAGACCTGCAACCACAGAATCCCCACCAGTAGGCAAAACCACATTTCTCAACCACTCTGTTGGAGTTTTCTCATTCGGCTTCCCATGCTTGTCCAACTTCCCTTCTGCAATCAATTTCTTCTTCATAGAAGCCCTCGGCCCCAACCCCCATTTTCTCGGGTATGTGTCCCTATCCATCACCACCCTCTTAATCCTTGCCACCACACCATGATCACAAGTAGCCATCACAGCAGTAGTCATTTCCGCAATCCCCAATGCAACAGCTTCCCCCTTCGTAGTCATCAGCACAACTTCCTCCCCAACCTCAATATCATTCTCAAACCTCAACAGCCCAGGAATCATCAACTTCGCCCCATAACAAATAGCATTCACGGTGCTATCCTTAACAACCAACCTCTTATAACTCGTCAACAGCACTTCAAGCGGCATAATCACTCGCCTCAAATAACTCTCGTCCCTATAATTATCATGCATCCATTGTGCATCCATCACATCATGCATTGTCACCATGTTATCATTCTCCCCCGAAATCCCAGATCTCACCCTCCTCAACTCCTGCATATGTCCACCAACACCAAGAATCAAACCCAAATGCACACACATCGTTCTCACGTAAGTACCCGCCTCGCACGAAATCCAGAAAACAACCAAATGCTTATCAGCATCATACTCAAGCAACTTGCTTTCATAAATAGTCCTAATCCTAAGCTGTCTTTTGACCGCCGAAATCAACGGCGGCCTCTGAAACACAGCCCCAGTTAAAGTTTCAAGTGCCCGAGCCACTTTCGCAACATCGGGAACTTTATCGTGCAGTCTCGCAACACAAACATACTCTTTCCCAGCACCTTGTTGCGACTTAACAAGACGAGTAGCTCTATCAATACAAACAATTAAGTTACCGGTAACTTTAGGGTCTAAAGTACCACTATGACCAGTTTTTTCAACCCTAAGAATCCGTTTAATCCACGCGACGACCTCGTGCGAAGACGGGTTTGCAGGTTTATCAAGATTCAAAACACCGTACCTGATATACTCAGCGAGCGGGCGCTTAAGAGGGGAGAAACCGGAGGGGAGAGGAGTGTAGTGTCCGGTTCGTACATTGAGGCGGTCGTAGTTTTTCAACAAGATTGGCCACTGAGAAGTGTCCAAAGAGGGAGTGAAGCTCTGGGGCTTGATTAAGAAATCTTTGGCTGTGTCGGTGTCAGTGGGTTCGGTGCCTGGTTCGGCCGTGGATGATTTCTTTTTGTGCTTTTTCTTCTCGGAGCGAGAGAGCTCAATATCGGTCATGGTTAAGATAGGGCAAATTTAGGGTTTAATGATTAGGGTTTTGGTTGAGAGGTGGCTGAGTGAAAGAGATGGAAATGAGGATTTATAGGGGTTAGGGTTTTGGGGGGTTTAGGGAAGAAGGTGATGGAGGAATGAGTTATCAAGAACCAAGTGAACTTCATTTGGTTTGGGCTCGTTCTTTTTTTTTTTTTTTTTTTCTGGAATTGGGCTTTTCTTCATGTTATTAGATTGGGCTTGAGGTTGCATGTATATGGATAACCTTTAGCCGAAGGATCAGTTTTTGGAAGACAAAAGAGTAGAACTAAAAAGTAAACTACTTTTTCCCACCAAATAATAGCTTAATCACTTATTCCACCCACTAACTTTTAAAATATCACTTTAGTCCCTAAATTTATATTCCGTTTCCGATTCCAGCATCGTTGCAATCTCATACCACTACTATTCTCTTTCCCGATCATCACTCACTAAAACCCGTCAAACCCTACTTTCACCGACCACGCCAATCGCCAACAATTTAGCGATTAAGGGCAATCGCCTCTTCCAAGTCAAATTTCGACCAATCCCAATCACCAATCCAAACTTCCATCACGAAAAGACTCATTGGCCTCTCCTCTTCAAAAGACCTAATAGTCTGGATCGAGTTTGATCTCTATTCGTCGCCGGCATATGAATTTGTATAGTAAAGTGGTATTTTAAAAATATGTGGGTGGAAAATTGTCATTAAACCATTATTTGGGTGGAAACTTTAGCTCGCTACCGGAAAACATTTCGGGTCCGTTTGGTTTGTTATTTTGGATAGGATTTTGGGAATAATATTGGATAGTTGAATATAGACTTGGCAAACGGGCGGGTTGGGCGAGTATGGTCTGGGTAGCAACGGGTCACGGGTTAACGGGTGAAAAATTCTCACGGGTCGACATTTTCATGATCCGTACCCGCCCGTGCGGACATGGGTCACCCATGAAAATGGAAGCAGCTTTTTACATTTTTCATATTTTTTACTGTTTTCCATATTAAACTTATTAGTTATTAACTTATTATATTAAATAAATGGATGATTAAATTAAATTTGATTAGATTTCACTAACATTATTAATTCAATATTAATATTTTTCATATTTATATCAAACTCCACCATATAGATAATAGAATTAGTAAACACTAAACATACATAGTAATTACTAATTAGTAAACACTAAACATATAAAATTGTTTAACATTCAACATACATAACATAGTAAACACTAAATAATTAAACGTATATAATTGTTTAACCAAAGTACCAAACACACTAAACAAATAAATCCTCCCTTGATTATGCAATCTCCTTCCCCCGCCCTTGACTTAATGGCACAACCAGCTGAACATCATGAATTTCATCTTCAACAATTAACAAGATATAAGTTAACAATTGTAACATATTAACAAACAAAAATATTAAAACATATGAAATATAAGTTAAAATGTTACCTTTAACTTCATATCCAGAAATCCATGTCCTGGTGCATATCAAAGACTCTGCATTCTCCGGTAAAAGTGAACTTCGATATTTACTTAGCACTTTGCTACCAATACTGAAACTGGATTCCGAAGCAACAATCGTTATTGGTATACTCATCACATCACGGGCCATCATCGAAAGTATCGGGAATCGATCACTATTTTTCTTTCAATGGTCCAGGACATCCAAATTGCAAAATTTGATGCGATCAAACCTTGCCTCTCCCAAATAAGTATCCAATTCGGACTTCTTAGTAGCACTAAAGTCACTCTTGTAGTAGTTAAATTTCTGCACTATTTAAATATTTAAATTTAATAAAGCAAAATTACAAAATAAAGAAAACTTTATTAATCACAAGAATATAAAAATATTTAGGGAGTATTGACTTACACAAATATCATCTCCAATGATATTAGGATTACTAGCTTGTACGCAATCATCTCCAGTGGGAACCTCATGGCCACTTAGACTCTCATAAGCAGCAAAAAGCCTATACAACTCCTGTTGCACCAACTCCAACTTTTTTGTTGCAACTACTGAGCCATCAACTTTTTTGTAACAAAACTCAACAAACTCAAACTTTAAACGTGGGTCCAGAATTACTGCAATTGCTAACACAACAGTATAAGAATCCCAATATTTGTCAAATTTTCCTTTCATTTGACTTGCCATGGTATTAAGAACTTCATCCTCATTTTCCATCTCTTCGTATAAACGCACTTGAATTCTCCACACATTTCTGAGATGCAAGATTGCTGTGGGGTACTGGGAACCCGAAAAAAGAGTAATGATCTCATAAAACGGTTGCAAAAACTTGCAAATCCTCTCGCCCCTATCCCATTCTTCATTTGAAGGACAACTTTTATAATTGGGATCTATTAGTGCCAAATGAACAAACACACGACGGTATATTAACGCACTTTCAAGCATTAAATAAGTGGAATTCCATCTCGTGGGAACATCCATTCGCAATCCTTTTGAGCTTATTACACCAATTTGTTTAACAAATTCTCCAAACTTCATTCTTTTAGTCTCACTTCCTTTAACATATTTCACACTTTCACAAATTTTATGCAAAGCCACGCTACTCACCTTTAACCCTTCTTGGACTATGAGATTCAAGATATGTGCACAACATCGTATTGAACAATTTAGGGGTGTTTGTCTGAGCTTATGAAAGTTAGCAAGTGGTATAAGCTAATTTTAGCTTATAAGCATTGAAATTTTAAGCTTAGAGTGTTTGGTTAAAATACTTATAAGGACTGATAAGTAATTGACGTATTTGATAAATGTGGCTTATAGTACATTTTATTATAAATGACTAAAAAAGGTACTACATTAAATAAGGGTACTATAGAATTTTAAATTAAACAAGGATAATGTGGTAATATACTTTGTCAAACTAGTTTTAAGCAGAATGCTTATAAGAAAAAAAAAAAAAAGTACCTCTCTAACTTTTTTTTTTTTTTGCTTATAAGCTCAATTATAAACTCAAAAAAGTATAAACAAACAGGTCAGCTAATTTAGAGCTATAGCTAGTTTGATCAGCTTATAAGCTTAGACAAACACCTCTAAATAGTATGGTTTCTAACCTATATATCAATAACATTTTTTATTTTTTTTTTTTTTTTTTTTTGGTTTTCTAGAGCAAAAAATTATAAAAGGAATATATTACTATATAGTCGAGAAAACAATTTAAAAATCTATTTTAACTTTAAACAGAAAAATATTGTAACCTAATTAAATCTCTTATCATTAATTGAGGCCCATAAAATTCACACGATAAGTTCATATAACTATTTTAAAGTTCTTTAAATAATTCTTGTCATAATATAAATTAACTCATCTTTATATAAAATAAATATAAATATAATATATTTTAATTATTAATTTAGTATACAATAAAAGATGTGGTTTGTCTTGGTAATAATCCTTGATAGGAGAAAGTCTACGCACAGAATATGCTATGTTAACACATCAACCCATCAAGCTGAAAACTCTAATTGTTTTGCAATAAGACTTTTTTTAATCTTATTAATTAATGGTGAACTAGAATAATATTATTTGTGAAAACCATTTCAAATCCTTGTATTTCAATTCTCAAGACAACTTCCTAATTTTTGTCGCAAAAATGACTTCTGAAACCCACAATTGAGTGGAAGAGTGCTGGTGATTATTTGATTTTGGCAACATCGTAAATGTCTGCATAACACCATTAACTAATTTCAGAGTTTTTCAAAGGTCGAAATTGGTGCTTTCTTTGCCATAAACCAAAACAAAATTTTCATTATTTTATAGACGTTTCTCTCAACTCAGGATGCAAATTTGGGAGCCAGTAAAGCAAATCAACATGTTTAAGTTTTCACTAATCAAGTACAACAACTAAAGATTAATAATTCAAAAATTTATCCAAAGACAGCAATTCATTGACAGAACTAAACTAGGAAAATTGGTCTACAGAAACTTCGTTGGAAGAAAATTACAAAAACTAATCAACAAACATTATAAGAATCCATAAATAAGCATAAAGTAGGAAAATTAAAACAAATGTTTGATCTACTCTTCATCTTCTTTTTTCTTTTCTTCTCTCACTTTATCAGTTTCACCGTTATCGACAGCCTTAGCCTCCTCAGCTTCTTTGTCTTTCTTCTCTTTTTCTTCTTCCCGGACTATATCTGTTTCAGGTGAAAAGGTTCACCTTATCTTGTGCTTCTTTTCTTCACCTTCTCAGTCTCTCCCTTTTTCTGTTTCTACATCACCATTCTCTTTGTCCTTTTTCTTTTTCTTTTCTTTTTTCTCATCTTCACACTTCTCTGCTCATCTTCTTCTCAATTCCGCAGTTCAAGTTTAGCCTTTAGCAGGCAAAAGAGGGGTATCACGCTCATCAAGTTTGCGTTTGCGCCCTTCTCCATCTTCCTCATCCTTCATTTTCTTCTTTTTCTTTTCCTTCTCCCATCAGCAGTCTCTATTTGCCACAGCTGGTTCTGCTGCAGCTGCAAGACCTGCAACCACAGAATCCCCACAGTGAGCAAAACCACATTTCTCAACCATCTGTTGGAGTTTTCTCATTCGGTCCCATGCTTATCCAACTTCCCTTCTGCAATTAATTTTTCTTCATAGAAGCCCTTGGCCCCAACCCCCATTTTCTCGGGTATGTATCCCATATCCAACCCTCTTAATCCTTGCCACCACACACAGATCACAAGTAGCCATCACAGAGTAGTCATTTCGCAATCCCAATGCAACAGCTTCCCCTTCGTAGTCATCAGCACAACTTCCTCCCCAACTCAATATCATTCTCAAACCTCAACAGCCCAGGAATCATCAACTTCGCCCATAACAATAGCATTCACGTGGCTATCCTAAAAAAACACCTCTTATAACTCGTCAACAGCACTTCAAGGGCATAACACTCGCCTCAATAAACTCTCGTCCCTAAATTATCATACCCATTGTGCATCCATCACATCATGCATTGTCACCATGTTATCATTCTCCCCCGAAATCCCAGATTCACCTCCTCAACTCTTGCATATGTCACCAACACCAAGAATCAAACCCAAATGCACACACATCGTTCTACCGTAAGACCCGCCTCGCACGAAACCAGAAAACAACCAATGCTTATCAGCATCATACTCAAGCAACTTGCTTTATAAATAGTCCAATCCTAAGCGTCTTTGACCGCCGAAATCAACGGCGGCCTCTGAAACACAGCCCAGTTAAAGTTTCAAGTGCCCGAGCCACTTTCGCAACATCGGGAACTTTATGTGCAGTTCGCAACACAAACATACTCTTCCCAGCACCTTGTTGCGACTTAACAAGACGAGTAGCTCTATAATACAAACATAAGTTACCGGTAACTTTAGGGTCTAAAGTACCACTATGACCAGTTTTTTCAACCTAAGAATCCGTTTAATCCACGCGACGACCTCGTGCGAAGACGGGTTTGCAGGTTTATCAAGATTCAAAACACCGTACCTGATATACTGCGAGCGGGCGCGCTTAGAGGGGAGAAACCGGAGGGGAGAGGAGTGTAGTGTCGGTTCGTACATTGAGGCGGTCGTAGTTTTCAACAAGATTGGCCACTGAGAAGTGTCCAAAGAGGGAGTGAAGCTCTGGGGCTTGATTAAGAATCTTTGGCTGTGTCGGTGTCAGTGGGTTCGGTGCCTGGTTCGGCGTGGATGATTTCTTTTTGTGCTTTTTCTTCTCGGAGCGAGAGAGTCAATATCGGTCAGGGTAAGATAGGGCAAATTTAGGGTTTAATGATTAGGGTTTTGGTTGAGAGGTGGCTGAGTGAAAGAGATGGAAATGAGGATTTATGGGGTTAGGGTTTTGGGGGGTTTAGGGAAGAAGGTGATGGAGGAATGAGTTCTCTACTTTATTGGCCCTTTACGGATCAATGTCATAGTATTTGAGAACATTGCAGACATGGTTGCACTCGTCAATAGGAAATTTGTGTAATCATGCCGGTGATGTCGACTCACTCGCCGCGGGAGAATTTTTTGGTAGTGACAACTACCGGCCAATTTTCAATTATTGAAAATTTTAAACCTTTTAATGAAAATAATTAAATTTTAATATAATCAAGAAAGAAAAAAATATGTAAAAAGTACTTATTTTGATCTTTTTGCATGAGTTATATCTCATTTCTCAAAATTAGGGTAAGCGATTCCAAGTACCCTGTAATTTTAGAAGAGCCAAAACCGACTGGTTCCTAAGATTTGGAATTGAAACTGGAACCAATCGGTTCCGGTTCTTAGATTCCTGGAACTGGAACCTAAAATGCAGGTTCTGGTTCCTTACCCAGGCACCCTATAAAATATCAATTACCCCCTATTCATTTAAAAAAAATGACAAATACACTCTAGAAATTTACAAAGACACCCCTGATAATTAATAATATTATATAAATATTATAGTTACTAGAGTGAAAATGAAGTTTTTGAATTTGCCCATAAGTTAAATTTACATTAATTGTGACAAAATAATCAAATTAAATATTAATATGATTTATGAATCTTTAATTAAATAATTAGTAAAAAAAAAAATTTACGTCATTAATTTAAGTTTGATTACAAAACACTTACATTTCTTAATATACCATGACTTCATGAGTTGTCATACTATAATGTTATAATTAATTAAATATTTAATCATTTAATTAAGTAATATATTAATATTCGTCAATTTATCATATATAATTACTAATTTATTATAGATATACTTAGAACTTGATAATTAAAGTAAATATTATTCTATCAAATATACTATTTTATTCAAAAATAATTCTTTTAATAACATTAAAACACTTTTAATTGGATCCTAATTCTAATTATATAATTAATTAATCAAATAATTCATGAATCTCATCCATTTTTATTCTCTTATAAGTCTTAATCTTATAATATATATATATATAGACAATGTACTGACTTTGCCACATCACCGACGTGTATCTTCATTCTATTTTGGATTTTTGATATGCAAAATTACAATAGACCTCCCATTCTTTACTAATACTCTTTCCAGTCCTGGTTCCAAGACAGGTTCCATCCCGAATACCTAACCTTGGTTCCCAGTCTAGATTCCGGTTCAGTTATGGTTTCTGCACATGCAAGAACTAGAACCAAAACCAAAACCAAAATTGGACCCGCACAATGTTGATTCCAAAAAATTGAAACTGAAACTGACCCTATAAAGGCCAATTTCGATTCCTATTCTACCCGTTACCCATGCTCACCCCTACTCAAAATCATAAATAATTTGAAAGTTTAACAAAACAATCACCTCATGGATTTTTTTTTTTAAAAAAAATTGATTATTTCAAAAATTGACCTATAAGTAATTATGGGACAAATTATAACAATCTCAAACTAAGCCCTAATAACCACCACCAATATTTTATGCTATAGCCAAAATTGGGCTTCAAGTCACATTAACAATTTANTACTGATCTAAAATGATTTAAAGAAAAATTAAGAAAGTCTCCTCTGAGTGTTTGTTATACAAAAGAGAATGCA